GGTTGAGAGATGTTGGTGGGGGGAGGGTGTAGGTAGGGGGAGGTGGGGGTAGTGGGGGTGAGAGAGGTTGGTGGGGGGAGGGTGTGGGGAGGGGAAGTGTGGGTAGTGGGGTAGGGGTTGAGTGAGATTGGTGGGGGGAGGGCGTGGGGAGGGGAGGTGGGGGTAGTGGGGGAGGGGTTGAGAGAGGTTGGTGGGGGAGGGCGTGGGGAGGGGAGGGACGGGGGGTTGAGGTGAAGGGAGGGGGGAGAGAGTTAAGGGAGGTTGGGGGGGGGGGCGAGGGAGGTTCTCTCTATTGTCAAAAAAAAAAAAAACATAGGTATGTTAAACTACCGCGTATATAGGTAGTTAAAATCACTGTTACAATTGAATTTCACTTTTGTCTTCATAAACACTAACAGTATTGCCAAATTTCTACAACAACCATTATTTATTTAAATTAGCTAAACCATACAACCATCGCAACCACCTTATTCGCCTAATAAACCTTCCCTCCCAACCACCCACTTTGCTTGTTACAGTTCAGGTGTATCGTTCATTTTATTTCAGTTATATGCTTATATTATATGATTATTTTGTGTTTTCATTTGTATTTTGCGTTTCTGTATATACCGTTATTCTTTACGTTTTCGTACTTACAATTGTTTTTTTTTTCTGTACACTTTAGATTCTTAACCAGACACTTGTAATTATTCTTGTCTAACTGACTTTTCCATTATTATTATTTTTTTTTTTTTTTTACTGTCCTGATGATGCACGTTTAGCTTTACCTTCCAAACGTCTAACAAATATGCATGTCTTCACAACTGTGTAAGTCTATCTATTTATACTATATATTTATATATGTATGTATGTATGTATGTATATGTAGATGTGTGTGTGTGTGTGTGTGTGTGTGTGTGTGTGTGTGTGTGTGTGTGTGTGTGTGTGTGTGTGTGTGTGTGTGTGTGAGTGAGTGAGTGTGTGTGAACAAAAACACAGTAACGTGTACACAAAGAGGAAAATGAAAACAACCACAATAAGAAATGAAAATAAATCGTAACGTTTTGACCTCTTCACGAGTTCCTCATCAGACGAATATCTACTGAAATATATACACAGAGAGAATTTTGATAATATTTCATGGTGGTAGATAGACAAAGCGAACAAGGGCTGAATTAGGTCTCAAGAGGAGGGTCAAAGGTCAAAGAGTCTCTGAACGACTTTACTTAATAACGACAAAGCAAGGTCATCCAAGCACCATTGACCAACACTAAGGTTGAAATTAGGCAATTTTCTCATTAACAGAGCTTCTAGCATTTTTCTTTATTACAATTTTCTGATTTATGAATTAATTTGGCGCCTTTCTAATTAAACTAGTGACCTTCATCATGTGAATGAATGAAACAAGCATTTGATTCTCTGTCGGATCTATCTCGTTTATGCTCGGTAATTCTTTTTCGAAAGCTCTACGATTTATGTAAAACTTTACACGGAATAGCGTAAATGCATTTGGAAGTATCAAGTGCACCGCTGACTGCATTTTGCATTACGCAACGTGTTCACATAAGCAAAAACATGTCAGTTCCAGCTCCTATAAACATATGGCGTTTTTACATCGAGGGACGGTTGTGCAGATAACTGGCACTGTCCTGTTGTGTGTTCCGGGAATGACTATAAAATTTCCTTTTTGCAGATAAATGTGCCTGATTTAAGAAAAAAAAAACGTTTCAAAACTGACATCGAACTCCCGATCGATGAATTCATTATCAAAAATCCTATATGCCCTAAGGGACATTAACGAGACTACTGACTTCTTACGAGTGATTCGAGAAAAAAATAAGGCAGTTAGCGGTGTGAGATGGTTTACGCTAGATCTAAGCGAGTTATTTGCATCGAATAAAAGAATGTCGAGAAAAGATAATTTACCTGAATCTTCCCATTCTACTTTAGAATTGATAGTACGAGCCAAGTCTTTTGAAAAAAAAAATCATCGAAACCCGAACGATTCACTTGCCACATACAAACATATAATTCAACATAACGAAACCGAATCTTGTCAAGAGGGAGAATAGACGGAAGGAGTTCAGATTCAAACATCTCCAAGTATAAATTCGCAAGAACCAGACATAGGCTATTTCCCATCGCGATACCATTGATCTGTTTATAAAACTCGTCATCAAAAGTAAAGACAATATTATTTACACACAAACGAATGAGATCAATAAAACACACGGAATAGTGAACTTCTCATGAGATGAAGAAAGTTTTCTTTCAAGAAAATCTAGTACATCATTATTAATTAGGGAATCCATATCAAAATTCAATAAATTCTTACCGTGTGTCGATGAAATTTCTTTCTCCATGAAATCCAACGAACGTTTAATATGACTATCAGAAAAGGATCCCATGAAATGATATAAAAAGCCAAGATTCTAATAAAAAACTTAACTAATTTGCAAGACGAAATAATAGGCCTTAAAGGGACACCCTCTATGTGATTTTAAGGAAGGTGTAGCCGCTGGTATATCATGTACTTCATATCAGCAGCTGGTATATCATATATTTCGTTTATCACGTATTCTGTAACAATACGGAGAGGCCTGTATGGTATAAATTTATCTTCTGTGTCATAACCGCTGGGAAGGCGACGGCGAGTACCACCGGGTCAACACATGGTCTGTATCAGCCGTAAGAGCTGACCTGTCAAGAAACGTGTTTGTGTGAGGGGTCGTGCCATAGGAAGTGGTGACGGCTCTTCAGATGATCGATGCTGTGAGATAGCAAGACCGCGACCTAACTAATGTATAACATGTGAAGTAGAATGTTACTTGGCGTCGTAGCCTGTGTATGTTTATAGTGTGAGGGCAGTTCGAGGGGAACCTCTGTGCCGTCGAGACGCCCATACCATTCTGGAATCAGACCAATAAGCTGATATTCTGACTGTTCCCGCAATGCGTATGTATCCAATATTTGTAGGAAGTTCTTATTATATAATCTAATGTCTAACGTGTGCTGATATTTAGTGGCTTTGTATATTGTGTGCATTTGTACAATCGATGTATTATTTAACAGGTTTGACCGCTACTGAATAAACCTTGAGCGAGTGCTACGCAGTGGTATCAGTCACCCCAGACCCATCGACGAAATCATAGGCGTGCTCCGGCGGCCACAGTCAAACGCAAAGGGTGCTAATTGCCGAGACGACGTAACACGGAGCCGAGGGCTGAGTACATCCCTGTCGGCAACAGACGGCGGAAAGGCAGCGCGCGACGACTGCAAGCACGAGACGAGGAAATACTGCAAATCACCGAACAGTCAAAAATACCCACGGTGCTGCATTCTTGCAGAGTCAAAAACCCACGGTGCTGCATTCTTGCAGAGTCAAAAACCCACGGTGCTGCATTCTTGCAGAGTCAGAAAACCCACGGTGCTGCATTCTTGCAGAGTCAAAAAACCCACGGTGCTGTATTCTTGCAGAGTCAAAAAACCCACGGTGCTGCATTCTTGCAGAGTCAAAAACCAAAAAACCCACGGTGCTGCATTCTTGCAGAGTCAAAAACCAAAAACCCACGGTGCTGCATTTTTGCAGAGTCAAAAACCAAAAACCCACGGTGCTGCATTCTTGCAGAGTCAAAAACCAAAAACCCACGGTGCTGCATTCTTGCAGAGTCAAAACCAAAACCCAGTGCGCATTCTTGCAGAGTCAAAACCAAAAACCCACGGTGCTGCATTCTTGCAGAGTCAAAAACCAAAAAACCCACGGTGCTGCATTCTTGCAGAGTCAAAAACCAAAAAAAAACACGGTGCTGCATTCTTGCAGAGTCAAAAACCAAAAACCACGGTGCTGCATTCTTGCAGAGTCAAAAACCAAAAACCCACGGTGCTGCATTCTTGCAGAGTCAAAAACCAAAAACCCACGGTGCTGCATTCTTGCAGAGTCAAAAACCAAAAACCCACGGTGCTGCATTCTTGCAGAGTCAAAAACCCACGGTGCTGCATTTTTGCAGAGTCAAAAACCCACGGTGCTGCATTTTTGCAGAGTCAAAAACCCACGGTGCTGCATTCTTGCAGAGTCAAAAACCCACGGTGCTGCATTTTTTGCAGAGTCAAAAAAACCCACGGTGCTGCATTCTTGCAGAGTCAAAAACCCACGGTGCTGCATTTTATTGCAGATAAAAACCCACGGTGTTGTTCTTATTGCGGTTAAAACCCACGGTGTTGTGCTTAGTGCAGTTAAAAACCCACGGTGTTGCTCTTATTGCGGTTAAAACCCACGGTGTTGTGCTTATTGCAGTTAAAAACCCACGGTGTTGTGCTTACTGCAGTTAAAAAAACCCACGGTGTTGTGCTTATTGCAGTTAAAAAACCCACGGTGTTGTGCTTAGTGCAGTTAAAAAACCTACGGTGTTGTGCTTAGTGCAGTTAAAAACCCACGGTGTTGTTCTTATTGCGGTTAAAACCCACGGTGTTGTGCTTAGAGCAGTTAAAAACCCACGGTGTTGTGCTTAGTGCAGTTAAAAACCCACGGTGTTGCTCTTATTGCGGTTAAAACCCACGGTGTTGTGCTTATTGCAGTTAAAAACCCACGGTGTTGTGCTTACTGCAGTTAAAAAAACCCACGGTGTTGTGCTTATTGCAGTTAAAAAACCCACGGTGTTGTGCTTAGTGCAGTTAAAAAACCTACGGTGTTGTGCTTAGTGCAGTTAAAAACCCACGGTGTTGTTCTTATTGCGGTTAAAACCCACGGTGTTGTGCTTAGAGCAGTTAAAAACCCACCCGTGTTGTGCTTATTGCAGTTAAAAACCCACGGTGTTGCTCTTATTGCGGTTAAAACCCACGGTGTTGTGCTTAGTGCAGTTAAAAACCCACGGTGTTGTTCTTATTGCGGTTAAAACCCACGGTGTTGTGCTTAGTGCAGTTAAAAACCCACGGTGTTGTGCTCATTGCAGTTAAAAACCCACGGTGTTGTGCTTAGTACAGTTAAAAAACCTACGGTGTTGTGCTTAGTGCAGTTAAAAACCCACGGTGTTGTGCTTAGTGCAGTTAAAAACCCACGGTGTTGTGCTTATTGCGGTTAAAAACCCACGGTGTTGTGCTTAGTGCAGTTAAAAACCCACGGTGTTGTGCTTAGTGCAGTTAAAAACCCACGGTGTTGTGCTTACTGCAGTTAAAAACCCACGGTGTTGTGCTTATTGCAGTTAAAAACCCACGGTGTTGTGCTTATTGCAGTTAAAAAAACCCACGGTGTTGTTCTTATTGCAGTTAAAAACCCACGTTGTTCTTATTGCGGTTAAAACCCACGGTGTTGTGCTTACTGCAGTTAAAAACCCACGGTGTTGTTTTTTATTGCGGTTAAAACCCACGATGTTGTGCTTACTGCAGTTAAAACCCACGGCGTTGTTCTTATTGCGGTTAAAACCCACGGTGTTGTGCTTACTACAGTTAAAAACCCACGGTGCTGTGCTTCTTACAGTTAAAACCCTAAAATCCTACGGTGTTCTGTTTATCGCAGTTAAAAACCCACGGCGTTGTGTATATTCGTGCTCATTGCAGTTAAAAACCTAAAAATCTACGGTGTTGTGCTCATTGCAGATAAAAATCCGCAATGGTTATTGTTGGTTTTGTGTTGTGGTTATTGCAGTTAAAGACCCACGGCAATGTTTATTTGTGCTTATTGCAGTTAAAAACCTAAAAACCCACGGTGCTGTGTATATTGCAGTTAAAAACCTATGGTGCTGTGACTAATGCAGTTAAAAACCCACGGCGTTGTATTTATTACAAAATCAGTTAAAAACCACGGAATCAGAAATCAGAAACCCACGGTGTTATGTTTATCACAGAATCAGAAACCCACGGCGTTTTTTGTTTTTTTTTATTGCAGAATCAGAAAACCACGGTGCTGTTCTTTATTGCAGATTTAAAAACTCACGGTGTTGTGTTTATTACAGAATCAGAAACCCAAGAGCTAAAAACCCACGATGTTGTGTTTATTACAGAATCAGAAACCCAAGAGCTAAAAACCCACGGTGTTGTGTTTATTACAGAATCAGAAACCCAAGAGCTAAAAACCCACGGTGTTGTGTTTATTACAGAATCAGAAACCCAAGGCGCTGTTTTTATTGCAAATTGCTGTATGATTACAGAGTACAAAAAAAAAAGAAAAAAAAAAAAAGGAAAAAGAAAAAAAAAAAAAAAAACTACAGTGCTTTATTAACTACAGCAAGAGAGGCCTTCGGAGTTGTGTGGGTCAGGTGTCAGAAGACATGTCCTTTGCTGGAAATAGCTGCTGAGCCCAAGAAGGGATGGAGGTGGAAACGGGAACAGCTGGAGACGTGGATAAACAACGAAGAGAAGAGAAATATACAAGTACCAGGCTGAGCGACGAAATGTGTGACGAAAAGTCATCACCCACACTAGATGCATCTGATCCTGTTGTGGCACCACGGAACCCCGTCTTATTGGCTGAAGTCCCGACACATGGTGATGACTCCTTGGCGTTGATGCCCAGTACTGGAGGGTGCCATCAGTATCCTTACGGAAGCTGTGCAGAGGATGTGCAGTGACATCTTCACATGGCATTTCTGCGGCATCATTGCCTATTTACAGTGCAGTGGAGATTACCGTGTGTGGGACATAGAGTTTTGGGGGCATCTTTACCTGATGATTTTCTGTCTATTGATCCTGACAGATATATAATACAGAGTCAGTTATATTATACTAAAGCTTGTTTTGCTGAGCACTGGAGAGGTTTTTCATCTCGGCGCCCAATGTCCTAGGAGGAATCCAAGTTCTGTGGACACACAGGGTTGTATTCTCTCCCTGTGGTTAGGGACGTGGAGTTTTTTCCCTTGTCCAGCAGCAATACAGCTAAAGAGAGACAGTTGAAGTCATCTCGAAATCATTAGGGAGGAGACCTTGTACTCATTGTTGAACAGCACACTCCCAGGGACCAGTGGAGGCTTGGGAGAGTGATGGGGGCTATAGCTGGTGAAGATGGTCTCGTGAGAATGGCCAAAGTTTTATAATCCTCATCAGACCACTGTGAAGTTATGCCTCTTGGAAGCATCATTATCCAGAACGACGGGATTATATGTTGCTCCACAGCGGAGCAAAAGGGGGGAGTGTAGCCGCTGGTATATCATGTACTTCATATCAGCAGCTGGTATATCATATATTTCGTTTATCACGTATTCTGTAACAATACGGAGAGGCCTGTATGGTATAAATTTATCTTCTGTGTCATAACCGCTGGGAAGGCGACGGCGAGTACCACCGGGTCAACACATGGTCTGTATCAGCCGTAAGAGCTGACCTGTCAAGAAACGTGTTTGTGTGAGGGGTCGTGCCATAGGAAGTGGTGACGGCTCTTCAGATGATCGATGCTGTGAGATAGCAAGACCGCGACCTAACTAATGTATAACATGTGAAGTAGAATGTTACTTGGCGTCGTAGCCTGTGTATGTTTATAGTGTGAGGGCAGTTCGAGGGGAACCTCTGTGCCGTCGAGACGCCCATACCATTCTGGAATCAGACCAATAAGCTGATATTCTGACTGTTCCCGCAATGCGTATGTATCCAATATTTGTAGGAAGTTCTTATTATATAATCTAATGTCTAACGTGTGCTGATATTTAGTGGCTTTGTATATTGTGTGCATTTGTACAATCGATGTATTATTTAACAGGTTTGACCGCTACTGAATAAACCTTGAGCGAGTGCTACGCAGTGGTATCAGTCACCCCAGACCCATCGACGAAATCATAGGCGTGCTCCGGCGGCCACAGAAGGCCATAAAAATACGGAACAGAGAGATTTATTGGGGTCACTGTTTCGAGCAACAATACCTTTGAGGTTTTTGACGAAATGATTCATCGACAGTAGGGTACGGGTTAGACAGCAGTTTTTGATACGGAAAGTTGTCGTGCAAGAAGATATGAGCTTTGCGTATATAATCAGATTTAGCAAGGATGACTTCATTACCTTTGTCGGGTTTGGTAATTAAAATGTCCGTGATTGAGTGATTGAGTGATTTGGTGGTTAAAAACTAACGTCGGAGTAAGTCTTTGAAACCATTAAAAATAAAGTACGAATCGGATTTAACTTGACACT